TGACATTTATAGTAAACAGAAAAGTGAAAAGAAACCCTGCACACAAAGCTTTTTTATGTAGCTACTGGTAATGAAGATTTTTATCCTTTGTTTGGCTATGTTTAATTATTCAATTAAATTTTGCGTCTATTATGAGATACCCTGTAAGTCAACGGAATAGTAGCCAGTAACTGAGAGGTCAAGCAGCTGCAATGTTGAACATCTACTGAAAGCTTCCACATCCCACCGACCAGTTACAGTGAATTTGTTCTTGGTGGAACGCGTAGCAAATAACCAACGGGCTGAACAGAACTCAGGGTACAATTCTCATTCTGCTGTTTATGAAGTTTTATACCAATCATGCAGATTCTCCAGATCTAATCCGAATAATTTTGATTTTTCGACGGCGAATTCCTTCATGTATTGACTTAAAAGATCTCAGGGTTTGTAATGATAAGGAAAATTAACCAATCAGATTATCCTTCACCTGGCAAAAAATTCAGTGGTATTATGTAAACGTTCCACACACCTTAGCTTCGGTCATTGGGCACGATCTGGGTTCATGTGTCCTCACAGTTACGTGGTGAACCTGTATACTCCTAACATCGAAGCTGCATAAAAATATCCCAATTTGCTAAAATTGTCACTCTATTTCCAGATAGTCCTACCAGCAATTCCCGTACACCTTTGTGCAACTGGTTCGTTTGATGTGGAGTATCGGATCGTTGTATCCTGTCGAAATGCGACCATTTATCAGGCAAGGCGGTAAGCTGAGAGTTGTTAGCATCATAATTATTCCAAACTGATACCCCGACTGCGTAAGACCATAATTTCTGTAAAAGGCTTTTGTTGATCTAGGGCACGAAAGCAAATGGAAAATGAACACTGCTTTGCAGCCGTATCTTGCAGTGTTCTCATCGATGCACGCGGGGATCACCCGGACGCCACCCTGGAGAGCGAGTCGCATTGACAGTAGCCAGGAATTTATAATCACTCCGAGATCCCTTCGTTAGATTATAGATTGTTCACCTCTCTGCTTACACTGAATGTAGCGTAGCCCCGAAAACAACAGTGTTTTTGCGAAAAAATGCTTGGCAGGCGATATTGACCAAACAACCACATACTTTGATGATTTCGACTGCACTCCATGATACACAACCGAACAAATTTTATGATTTGGCGGCTCCAGCCTATTCGAACTACGTTTCCGCATATCAACTACAAAAGCTCAAATTAAGTGTATATCCCAAGGCTGATAATTCTTACGGCATTGAAAGTATAGGCACGGAGCAATTTGCAAGATGCAACAAAACGTCACTTGCTTCTCACTACTCGAACTTCAAAAGTAGGCTGACAAACATGCACCACAAATGCTCTTGTAGAGCACAAATTACTCAGCGTGCTCAGTACGTCGTCAAGACAAATGTAATCATTGGGTCAGACGTGTTGGCGTTTACTGAACTGACCATGTTTGGATTTGGAACCCACAAGAGTTTGTTAGTTATACACTGCCAGTAATCTCCGACAAACCTGTTATCACCGTAGCCAGTTTCTGAGATTCCCGATAGTGCTTTCCGTGGCTTGACCAATTGTAAGCATTAATGCTTCCTGAAGTACTGTACCAGTGGAGTTTGTTAAAATGTATTCTTGCAGCTGGTGCAAAGCCTTAATTCACAGTCATTGCTTCTTTCTGTATACGTGAAACAGATCAACAACTACCATCACCGACGGGATTGACGTGGGTTCGCAACTTATTGGTTTGGTTCGATCTGAGAAATCTATTGTCACCGCCTGCATGGACCAAACAATTAAAGCGTTTTCTTTGTCAGTAAGTCAGTTTGCTGGATGCCGCGTAAGGGTCGGCCACTTAACTTTTTTGAAAATTTTGCTAGCGAAGTTCGGCTCTCATTGGTATTTGCTAGTGGAGGTTTACAAATTTGATTTGATGTAGTTATGTTGCCAGAGAAAGGGATCTCAAAATGTTACATATGGTCATATAGTATGCGTATAGTATAGCAGTGTTTGTAGTATAGTATAGTATACGTACAGTAATATACAAATATATAGTTCTAGATAGTTATACACAGTTGTATAGTCGGTTGTAGCAACCATGTTTTTGTGACATACCCCGCCATAGGTATGGTTGTCTCTGACGGGGGCTCACACTAGATAGTCATCCAGTTTCGTTTTCATTGATGGACGCTACAGGTGGACTAGATATCAAGCCGATTTAGGTCCACTTTCATGACGGGCATCTTCGTGCTCATTTGCTACCCTCCTTAGCAGTGTCCGGTGTGGGTATGGGCGTATTAAGTTATCCCAGCTTCGACCTCAGGTTGATGAAGCACTTGTCAAAATCGTTGAGGTCATTGTTTAAAGATATACTAGCGCGTCTTAAGATTACAAACTTAGCCATCCAATAGCAACGTGTAGAAGAAGAGACACAGAGAGCCAAGTTGATCCAGGAATCTGTGTATGTACCAAAGCATGTCTTATTTCTTTGCGCCCTTCTCGAAACAGCACACCCCATTCAGTGCTTTTTTTATAATGTCTCATTAAATCCTTACCTCAACATACTACGTATTCAGCTGCTTCTCAGATTGTACAGCAAACTATAAAAACCTAAAAGACCGAAACGTTGGAAAAATTCATTGCAAGTTTTGAATACAGACTAAAATGCGCATATATATTGTGTTTTAGCAGCCCCGAAAACACATTACAAGTCACTGTATCCGTATTGAAAATTCCTCGTGGAAGTTTACATTGAGGAAGTGAGGGTGGGGCCGGTGCCAGTAGGAGAGTGGTGGGTTGGGCCTTTGTATAGGTCTGAAACAGGGCTGTTAAAATTATACAAACTTTCACAAAAGTCCCTCCTATAAGTAAAAATTCTGGAAGTGAAGCTGTTTAGATTTCAAGTGAGGATGGTGGGTCACAAAATCTTCAGCTATCCCCTTAGGGCACTTTCTGCAAACGCATGCGGGACTTTTTGGGTGACCACATGGGTCGCCATTCCAAGACGCTGGGGAACCCGATCATTGACGACGATTAGGATCGTCTAGGTGTGCCAACGAATAGATAGCTAGATGAATGCAACTCGTTTAGGCGGTACTCTAATTTGCCTCGTTCTTTGTACTGCTCACTGTTATCGGATCTGAATGCATAAAGTGGGCAGGTGTTTGATTGTGACTAGATAAGTTGTTTGTGCCTGAGGAATTTTAAGCCTATCGGCATGATCGTGACTCTATAGTTTTGTCAGAGGGTTATATATATCGAAATCACTTAGGTACTAAACGCCCGCTACGTGATTCATCAAAGTACAACCAGAATGTTCCTGGTATTTAACTGTCTTTAACAAACCGACAGGTCGGGACTAGGAGCCCGGATTGGAGAAAATAGATTGGATAATCTTTGGTGGTGTGGCATCTCACATATCTTGTGAATAAAACAATAACCATCCTACTCAGCTTGCATTTTTCCATGAGGAACAATTTGGCGAAATGATATTTGAACGTCAGTGCACCAGATAGTATTGGCATAACTGCAAAATCACTGAAGTATTTACCTGAAAAATCTATTAGGGATTTTACGCGAGGATAAAAGTACTCTGAGACAACAGTCGTTGTTCTCCTAAAGACGTCTCAGTTTTGCCGTCTGGGCCTTACCGTGGTATGACGGTTTGTGTACCCAGGCGACCCATTGAGCTATGTTGGGATTTGCTCGCGCAGTACTCACAGAGACTGTTATACCAGGCTAGTGAATGGATAGAAATCTGACTAAAATAGTCTCCTAGGCTCTCCAGGTTGGGGCTGGAACATATGTAGAGCATATTGTTCTATGGAAATGGTAATGCAATAGCATTTCCAGTCAAGGCTTCCAGGTAAGACTCTTGAATCAAAGGCCATGATCGGGGACCTAAATCGTGCTCCTGTCTAGGTGTAGGCAACTAGACAGAATCATAGCCCTAGGACAACTAATGTATTTACAGCTAACAATACTCTCATGCCACATCAACCATCACGCTGTTTCATCAGCCGGGTCGCCTTTGGATGGCAGTGAGGCATTAGTGTCAAAATGAATGTTGCTATCTTTGATTATGACGATGTCTCACAGCCATACAACAAAACAGCCCGTCCTGTAGCCTGAATACACATCCCTTAAGATTCAGGGATAAACCACTTTGACGCCATAGGTGTCTCAAATTAGCTATGCGACCGGAGCCTTGCAAATTCCTGCAGCAGCCTAGCCTGTCATACTGAAGTCGGAACTAACACAACTTTCAAGATACGTAAAACGCCTTACAACTTTCAGTGTCTCTTCCTGGGTTCAGTGTTCAATGACTGCATGCCCATGAGCACGAACCTATACTTTGTCGGTGCAAAGTATATACAAAAGAGCAAACAAAGTGATCAATAAATTACACGAGGAGCACAATCAGCAACAGCACAATTGGTGGGAGTGTAAGAAGTGGTCATGAGGCGCAGAGATTTCTGAAAGCAAAAGACGAGTAAGTAATGAATGACAAACACGGATACGTGCAGTTGGACAGTGTAAATGGACAGTATACAGGGATACCGGTGCGAAAGGCAGATATTACTTCCGGAAGTTATTTCCAAATCAAAGGGAAACTGTAACTATACGCAGTTTTTAGCTGACAACGTGACAGCCAGCAAGCCCTACGAATCAAACTTGAAATGCACGTTCATTCCCGTTTAAAACAATTTCCAACATCGTCAAGTGAGGTGCAACACAAATAGAAGACTTCCCCAAAAGTTGAGTTGTCGCAGTGGATAGCCCACGACAAAATATCGACAGTAGTGATTAGAGGCTAAGCAAGCCCTTGGTGGTGACAAAAACCCGGGGAAAGGGCAACAAGGGCCTACACGATGCTACTCATGAGCAGTCAGAACAAATGGGAAAAATAACCACTGATCGATTCCCAGGAATCAACAGTTCTACTAACTAAATCCCACTGTTGATTGACTTGAATAGATATGATAGAGAGATCTACCTGCGTGGAATGGGGAACGTTCTACCTGAAGTAATGTGATTTCTTTGGAACCATTCTCCTTTGTTGGAACACAACGTTGTATTTACGGATCAGCATGAACAAGGCTTACTTGGCACGCGACACGACGTTTCACACCTGCCTCAGTTATGATGTCAGCTCAATGAACAATTTTTTCGCATGATATGTAGTAAAAGAGTTTATGCTCGCAGTTTTGTTCCATTTCTTTTCAGCTGAATACAGTGGCGAGAAGTGTTTGTAAGAGTTGGCCGAAATCACCTTTAGTAGGCGCTCGCGTGAGTGGTAATAGCTTTTATGTATGCAATGATGGAGACTGTTACTTAAAAGTAAATATTTGTCTTGTACCCCTCCAGGAATCCCTTCATTTTCAGACCTTGTTATTTTTCCACCTCACCACGTGGATACACATTGCATATAGTTGCGGACTTCGTGTATGTCCCCTATCTTGTTGGATTTCATGCAACCCATAGTGTGAACGGGAGTCAGACGATATCCCATTTCTTCCCCATTCAGGGTCGTTTGCTATGGTCTATTCGTCAGCCCTCACCAATTTTGGCCATCACGTCTTTGGTTCTACCATCACATTCTTTTGATGGTTATGTGGTCTCGCTCACGGACGGCACTGTACGTCTTTACCGCGATAAGCAGTTGTGTGACGTCATTCTTACATGGACTCAAGTTACATCTGGAGAAATGAACCGGGGAAATCCGCAGAAGGATGTGGAAAAGACGGATTCGGAAGCGCAGATGGGCGCGAACACCAGTGAAGTGAAATCCGTTGGACCCAAATGGAAAAATCTCAATTGGTTGGAATCGAAAATTGACCCGGTTGTGGCCTGTCGCTTTGGGTCGTTCGAGCGGGAATCGGGATCTTTGGCACTCATCACCCAAAGTAATTTGCTTGAATGAATGGAATTTGGTACTATCCTCAGGTTAAGGTCAAACGATCAAACGCCCCTCTTCAGTCTCAGGTTTCTGAGTACTTTGTTCCCAATTTGACTAATCTGGCATACCCAAAATCCCCGTAACTCCTAGAAGAATAGTGATTAGAGAGATTTTCGATTTCATTGCAATGCATGCGTAGTTTTTTTGACATTCATGTAGGCAGTTGTAACTTTCGTATCCACCAATGAAACAAGGATCTGCATGCCATCGCTCAAATGGCACAATTGAACAGCAATGACCTTGAAGCTTGATTGGTTGAGCTCGTGGACATTGCGTGACAAAAGCAGCACTGAGACAAATATGCATTCAATCAATTAAGGAGAATTATGAAACTGACAACATTTCCATGTGCTGTCACCTGTCTTGAAGTAAAATACAGTGTTGCCGAACCAACGACGGACTTCTGTGTTAAATAAAATGGTTCAGAATCCGCCCTAAACCAATCCAAACGATGTCGTTTACCGTCTCTTTATCGTCTCTTTATCGGCAGATAACTCATTACGATCAACTAATTGTTCAAAAGATAAAGTTTAAAATCTTTTTTAAATTGTGGGGGCTTTATTGGTTCTTTCCAGATGGGGCTATGTTAATTCTTCTCGTGAAACGTTCGGCGAAATTCTCCCCAACGGATGTGCCGAATGGAAGTTCGTCGCCGGTTATTCCTCGATTGCAAATTCCAAAACGGTCGAAAGCATTCATGGAGTTAGCTGCTCGTGAGAAACACAACGCTCCAGGTTCGTTCTGTCCTTTTCTTCTGAAGGTTTACTGGATTTCTATCGATTTACGCCACCTATTAATTTTGAGATTCTTCAGTTGACTTTTCTCTTAGTCAAGGCACGTGAAATAACTGTCCAACGGTAGCACAGGCTAAAACTTCCTTGTGCGTTAACTAGCAGCTTGTTTTCCTCGCCATCGAGCTGAAAAATCGAAGGCGCAACAAGCACAGCAAATCTTTGATGCTTAGTCCCAAAAAATGGAACCTTAGCTATGAGAAAGCAAACTTAGCTGCATAATTTTTCAGCTTTCCCTTTTCATAAAGAAACGATATGCAGAACGGAACATCGTGTAGCGGCGTTTTCGCCAGCCTTGAGGAATTTCGCACCTACAGACATTACCGTCACCGATGTAGGAGGCCATATGAAGGTCTAACCTCTGATCCCATTCAATTATATGCTAGACTACCGAGGGACGTCAGAGAGCGCCTTCGGACTTGACCAAGCTAGATAGGCTTACTGACTTAGGTCACGTGAACGTCTAAACCAATCATGCTGTTTTACTATGATGAAGCTGGAGAATTTCAAATCACGATTCACGACAGTTCAATATTCATTAATCCTGAGCTAACAGATTGATTGTGTCAACATCCTTACCGGTAACCAGCCCTGAACGAATAACAAAGAGGCTTGAAATACTCCGGTTTTTCCCCTGTTGAATGATGGATTGCAACCTAACGGCTGACGTTTTTGCCCGTAGTTCCTGATGCCGTCATCTTGGAAGCGGGAAGGCTCAGTGGTTAGAGCGCGAATATCACAAACTGGAAGACTCGTGTTTTGAAACAAACCTCTGCCTCTTGACTTCCCTCATCCATGCTTGGGCAACCTGGGGGAATCCCAGCCCTCGTACTCCCTTTGGGTGGCGTGGTAGCTGGGCACGAAAAGGGTGTTACAGTCTAGCCGACCAACAAGCTCAGTCTATGGTCAGTGTTTTGAAACAAACCTCTGCCTCTTGACTCTTCTCATCTATGCCTGGGAAACCTGGCGGAATCCCAGCCCTCGTGCTCCTTTTGGGTGGTGTGGTAGCTGGGCACGAAAAAGGTGTTACAGTCCAGCCGACCAACAAGCTCAGTCTATGGTCAACAACCAGAGAAGTGACTCTTTTCATTGTGACTGTGTCCACTGGTCTGAGATTTTCCGCTCCGCAAGAGTTTGCACAAAAACCTTCTCGTCAAACAGCCGATCCTCTGGAATCTAGCCAAGCTGTGACTTTCTACTCTAGTAAAGCATTCGACCAAGTCCAGCAAAACTCATCTGATACGTTCACAGGACTTGAGCAGTGCTTTCTTCATTTCTATGTTTGGAATTAAAACTGTGAATATATTGCAGTCGGCAGCTTCTTGAATCATTGCATTTCAGCACTGCCAACACTAGCCCTGAGATATGAAATCACGCCACACTTGGAGAAATTCCTTTGTAACCATACTTACCGGGCGGTCAGTGTAGTATTTTGTTTTTCTCACACAAAGCGTGAATGCCGGTGGATATAATGCCGGCATCACTCTTTCGTTATGACGTAAATGAATATCTATTGCTGGCGTCAAACACATACGTTTAGTTTAATTTTAGAGGATATTCTACGGTTGAAGTGAACGGTTTCAACATACTCTAAGCAATTCAGTTGTAGCCTCAATTCGACCGATGCCTCTTCATTCGCAAATGTGGTACAACTGTTTGTTTTGAAAGGTTCTTTAGTTACCGGAAAACAAAAACACGCAAGTGGATGAGCTGGGTACAGTGTGCTTCAGGAAAAAAAAGAAGTTTGTGCACCTTCAATAAACGTCAACGACAGACATATTTCTAGTCAAGCACAGAAATCTCCAATCTAGAAGGCAGTCTCCTTTTAAAAATTCAAGTTTTTTGCAATCACTTCATACTCAATAACTAGGCTTCCTTGTCGAGATATTTTAGCGGATCAGCTGACAACGGGTGACCCAGATGAAATGTTATTCCAAACACCGGTTTAGGGCTACCCTAGGCCTTGGAGTCCGAACTGAAAAAGCTCACGAGTACCAACGAGTAGTGATGCTCGCGAACGTAGCAGGCGCCTCTTGCTTGTTTCCGTACCCCTTTTCAGCCCTCTTTTTTCGTTTTTATGGCAATTTTCAAAGATCGCTTATATTATTTTCTGTTTAGAAATGCATCGAAAGTTCGTGCGCGATCTGACCTCCCTGAAACACACGGTAGCCAAAACATTTCTGGAACTTCTCGAAACACGAGCCGGGCCGATGGCGATGCCGGGAGCAAAACAGAAATTGAGGCTGAATTCACAGGTAAGCGTACCACATCTGTTGTTGACCAATAGTTTGGGGTTTGCAAAAAAAGACAGGTTATTTCTGGTAGCCAGTGGAAATCATTAGTCGGATTTAAGACCAAGCTCGATGTTTCTTACCGATGTCGGGGCACAGTGATGACCTTTACGACGTGTAGTTTCCTCAGTTCAACGTATAAGCTCTCCCTTGTTGAAGCAGTCTCCTTTCGTACTGTTTACTTTTTCCTGTTTCATAGATTCTTGGCTTGGGACCAACTTTTGTCCTTTCCATGGAGGTTATTCGAACTCTCAGCGAAGACGATGTCGGATTCCCAAAGTTCAAAATTGTCTTACACTTTGATGAAACCGTGTATCAGATCAGGCCTTCCATGATGGTGGTATGTTAACTAGCAAAATCATATTTCTCGTTTAGTTTCGTCAGACATGAATGAGCGATTCATGTGGTGAGTAACTGTGAGTGGAAGGGACGCCCATTTTACAGAGCAGCCTTATAGTTCGTGAGCTTAGTGCAGCATCTGTTGAATTTTGAAGTTTCGCAAAGTATGCTCCGTTTTATCCGTAGTTATCCCTGTCACTGCGATGAAGATGACTAGGCCATCTGGAATTCTTTCCAGAATGTGCTAGCTTGGCTATGTGCTGCATATGCCAGTCGACCGATTTCCTCGAAGGGCTCTTTTCGCACAACCACGTGAAGAGTGGAAGAGAGCAAGAGGTGGTCGAACAATGACTTGGCAGTGAAGTATAAAAGCCACTACCAGCAAACCCAGTTGCGCTGGTCATTGCAATCTTCCTGGACGGGGACCCGAGACGGGCCACATCAATGGTTAGAGACATTGTCAGACATGGCCCAGTCGCACCCTCAATGGCGTTCATGCACCCAAGCTATTACCTACAATGCACAGCCCCCTTCCCAACCCAACCCCCCACTTAACAGCCTACCTACAGTGCTGTATTTACGACCCGCCTCCAATGCGCAGCTACCTACCCCACCTTCCCGAATCATCGGTGGACGAAACTGTGGCAGCTACAACCAATGTACGGCACTTACGCGGTTATTACAGCTAACAACGATATCAGGACTTTTAAATATCGCTAATTTGCTAAAACCGGACGGGAAAGTTATAACCGCTCTTAGGGATGCTCAACGTTTTATTACATTTGTGATCCATACTCATGATGATTCTCCCTTTGGCCCAGGTTAGAAACTTTCATTGTTTGTAGTTAAGGCTTCCCCTTCAAGAAAAGTGGCTGATAGAATTTACACTACTTTATTCGGATTTCACACGAAAGTCTTGAGAAAACGACTGTAGCCAGCTGACCCGATCGACACAGAAATTCTATTCGTTTAAGTTGTTTGTCTTGAACGCACAGATTAGAACAGTGTTTTCTCTAAAACAGAGATCCTGTTTCAGCGCCCACGAGAGCCTTCAACTGGATAGTGGCTTCGTGCATTTCCCCCTTTTGGATGGAATATGCAACCCCTAAGAAATTCTACAGTTGAATTGAATGACCCCTTGAATGAATAGTTTGACCAGGCTGTGTGAGTAATCTGCGGCAAGTAATGTCTCAAAACAAATGCTTATTGAAGCTAGCTATGAAAGTGGTGGGAAACCGAATCTGTTCAACCGAATGCAGTGTCAATGTTCTGCATTTTTGATTTGAACTTTGCACCTGGGGTCGAGGAATGATGTGAGATATTTTAATCGTGGATAGTCAGGTTAGTAGCGGTTGCAATTCGCAAATAAAACTGAAGTACAATTCTAACATGCTGACTAAAGTGCATGACGAATTCTCGACTACAAAAAAACGCCAAAATCTGCCGTAAACAAACTGAGGATAGCAAAGCAACGGTTCATATATTCGGCCACTGAATTCGGAATTCAGTAGTTCATATCTAGCCAACAAGAAGCCAGTTACTTGGAGGTTTCGTCCCGTATTTAAGGCCAGTTTATGCTGAAAAGCCTAGAAGTACCGTATAGTCGTTTTATTCTTATTTGGAATAGTCAGTCGTGCGAATCTCACGAAACTCGGCGGAATTTTAAATCCATGACTTTCCTGGCTTGTAGTATGTACCGCTCGACCAAGAGCACCTGATCGGCAGTGCGAGTGACTGGCACTTAAAACCTGGTGACACTCGTTCTTCAATCACGGAAACCATATCATGTGGTCCCGTACTGGCTAACTCCACGATGGATAACTTCTCCAATGAAAAGTCCCCGACTATAATCTTCGTGAACCATGACCGAGTATGTGTGAATGATTCGTGTTACCTGACGAGTTTGTCAGGTGTAGGTTGTTCACCGTAAGAGCTGATGAGTGAATAACCCTCTTACCTCATATGAGCCCATACTCCAAACAAAGCCTAGTCAGTGTTCTCTGAGAGAGTTTGTGAAGCCGGGTTTACCTCTATCACCTGTAACCTAATAGAATCTCTTTCACCCTCTACCTAAATTGACCGATTCCCCACCAAATTGGTTTCCGTCTGTCACTGGGCCATCAAAGCCTAATACATTTTCTCTCTCTCTATGTTTTACTGATTCAGCTCCCTTTGCTTGTTCCCAATATGACGTACAAACTTGTTTCGTCAATCACTGCCCTGAAAGACACCAGGATTTCGGACAAAATCAAGGTAAGCCCTATTAGTCAGTGGTAAAAACTCTCTTAAATGCATTCGGGGAAAATTCACTTCGTTTACGGTGTGCAAAGTATTCGCTTAGCCTGATTAGAAAAGTAACAGCTACGCAGACAAAAGATTTCGAATGCTCAAACGTACAGCTGAGTTTTCGTCCACCAAATATTGAATGTAGGGGTATTCCTGTAGAGAAGTTACAATCCATTCGAAATGATATTCTTGTATTATTTCTTCTCAAAGGAACCAAGTGCATGTATCTACCTAACGAAATCTGATCGCCTCACAAATCAGGCTGCGCCGCTCCAGTCATTTCAATTTATCCATATACCAAGGATATTCACGTTCACATCACTCGTGTCTGCGTAATTATTCTGGTGAGTACACACGAAAGTGGACTCGAGTTTCGCTCTTATTCGAGCTCATTAGCAGTGCATATCCAATAACCGTGCCGGGGTTCGAACCCCAGACAACTGACGTGCCAGGCGAGCGTGTTACCACTGCTCCAAGAGCGCACGCTGAGCACAGGAACTTCCATTTATGAACATGATGTGATTGGTGTTGCCCGATACCGACTACCCCGCAAATGTCGCGGTTACATCGAACGACTGAACCAACTGTCAGGCCTTCTCAGTCAGGTGACTTTGAAACCTGGTGGACAGTTTTTGATTGGTTGCTGGTAGTTGCGGGATTTTTAGAATGCACGAATGTGTTCTTGCTGCTACTGTTTCATCCATCGGTTGATGGAAGAGTGGAGAGGATATAGACAGACGTGGGAAGCAATACCAAAACTGTTAGTTCTTGTTGAATCACTCAGTTTATTTAAAGGGACTGGAAACTGGGCAGCTACGCACTGAAAGTTATATCCTTATTGCAGATGCATCAGTAACTGTATGATTCACTCATGTCTGTCAATATCTTTAACCATGTTGGATTATGCCGCTGGATACCCATACAGAAAGTTACCAGCTGGTTAGGGCTTTCATGCTTTTAGGTTATGGACGATATAGCTCTTGGTCCCTTCCACTCAGTACACGTCTGGGCGGAATAACCGCTACGAGGCGAACAATACGCTGGCTTGCAATGTACGCTCCCTAACCAGCGCGACCTAGGTTGCTTATCCATCGCTAGGGAGTTCTTTCTACCAAAAACTGTAAGTAAATTTATCTACCACATCGACTGGGTCGTCTGCAGGCATGAAGTTGGGGTTTGATCCCACTTCGCCTTGCAACAGCTTTTCACACTTTGCAGGTGTGAAGCGCATGCCCAACATCATCTGCATACCCAAGGTCTGTGAGGGAACATCCCAAGTGCATTTTGACTCCCGGGCTTTTGGAGGTGGGGACAGAAAGTACAAACAGCACAGGGATAAGAAAGTTGAAGAGAAGTGAAGATTGACTGTTCCGCAAACATGATGTTTGATCCCACCCGATCTTGCACCAGTGCTGTATTGCACTCTAAACTTTGTAAGCCGGCAGTCGGTATGCGGCTCGTTGGTTAACGTGCTCAGTCATCAGCGCGACATATCATTCCGACGCCATAAATCGGATATTGCTTCAAATGATGATGAAACGTCTGTAAAAACGCACCACCGGACCACCAACTCAAACTGACGTCCTGATTCCTACCGGACGCAAATTACGCGGGTTTGCGAGTGATCATGTTGAATTTATTCTGGAATAATTATTGAATCGGTTTACTTTTTATTTGGTTTAATTTTCAGATCCATCTACTCAGCTCGGAGAGCTGCTCGGGACCACTGTTCACAACTTTCGTCAACGTGCCCCCATTTGAACCTGCTTGATATCATTTTCACTGCTCAAATTATTGTATATAAACCGTACTAATTACACCCAAAGACTGTGCTCTCGACCAAATCACCGGAATACATGAGATTTGGTATTTTTGTGTTTCTTTTGTGCGACTGATATCCGGTATAATTCCTGTCTGTTGGTCTCATCTGGACACCTGTCCATAGGTCTTCGAAAATACTCTTACAAAAGCCGCTGGCGGAAGTAAGCTGCATGAGAGAAACTGATTTCTGATGAGTCTTACTCTGGTGAGCTCATTTATTTCGGAGAAGTAGTCCCAATATAAATGCCACTCGTAAACTATGCTTTGAAGAAAAACTTACTGGTCGTCCTAAGGGCAAGCACCGATAAGCTGGATTTAGCTTACAACTCGGATTATCTGCAGTGCACTTCTCAGAAATCTTCAGGGAAATTCAGACTCACAAACTTTTGGGTAGCAGTAGTGGAGGACCAAAACTTTTCGGCCAGGAACAGCTGACCAGTAGGATGGTTAACGCAGATCTATGCAAGGTAAGGCGACACACCTTTAGTCAAGGAATGCCCATCACTTGGATACGAGTTGACTGGCCTCTCCGGGTACGACCTCTTGATCACTCTAAGTGTTTCTCGACAGAAATCGCAAGACCACTACTAAAAGTCGAGATTTTCCAAGAGTCTTGGTTCATACGACGCTGAGGAAAGCACAGCTCAACATCTTCCCCCCCCCGGGAGCTTTTTGAGTCACTTGTGGTCGCTGACCTATTAAAAAGCCAGAAATCTGATTTTATTCTATTTGACCAAAAGTTGTAGCGTTATTTTGGAAGCATCTGATTTGCGTTAGGCTGCAGTGATTAATAATGAGGTCATCAATAAACGGAATCGCGATGGAAAATGGAAGTTCCCGTGTACCATTGATGAATGAGGATATAAGTATATTGTTCCGTAGACGGAATTTCTTGGACAAGCCGGGAAATCTCCGAAAGTCGAATGGATGATAGGAGTACCATTCGGCATCGACCGGCCATAACAGGATGGACGGAAAATTGAGTACTTTGGATTTAAGCCCGTTCTGAATAAGAAATTAGTCTGCCAGACAATAAAAACATCTCGGAAACATGGGAATTCAAGCCCTGAAGCCCTTCCACGTGAGACCCATGACGACAGAGAAATTCCTCGTAGTGCGGCTCGTCTCCGACTACTGTAATGTCGAGGTCTCGGCCGAAGAAACCAAACCGAGGACATCCCGGTCACAATAATCTATTACTTTCTCCCTGAGAAGAAAATTGATACAAATTCACTCTTTTGAATCCAACGTGACATCACGGTAATTCCCTATTCATTTGATTGCTCCGACCATATACTTTTGATCGACGCTTGCTTTACTCATTCGTACCCGCTATCCACCTTTCTGCAAAGGCCTTCTCATCCGACACCGGGGTATTGTTTGTGTGTGCAAATGTGTGCAGCTGACCCACTGACCTACGCTTATTCGCACCCGATATGTTGGATCACAACGAGAGATCCAGCTGGGTTCCGGGCGAGTCTCCCATTGAAACCGAATTGGTATGCAAGTGAGTGTGGTTTACCAGCCCTGACCTATTCTGTCATGATTTCCGTGTGATCGCACCGACACTCAGAATCACGAAATCGGTCTCGGGCCATAGTACTTAGCGTGCGTTCACGGCGGAATAATCAAACTGTCCAAAGTGGAAAAGGTCACTTCTTTGAAGATGTCACCGGCCTCCATAGAGAATTGAATCGCCGATTATCTATATCTGACGATCAAATGAATCCAGCTGCCTATCATGCTGTCCTCAAAAATTGCGGTGAACTTATTTCGCTTCTAGACTTGGTTGAGATCGAATACCACGTCGGTAAATTTAAATCAAATAACCTGTAAGACCTCTAGAATGGTACCTGAAACCCCATGAAAATGATGCTGTTGATTGCTAACTGCGTAAAAACACAGCTTTCGAAGTATCCCCCCCTGTTGAGAAGCCATCATTAATCTACTGGTTTTCTGTTAGCACCATGCGACCATCGGCCCAGCAAGACGAAAACTTGTCCATGAGCGAATTGTATTGATCATGCCCTTTGGTTAGGTGGGTATGAATTGATAACTCTCATCTGATCGCTCCTAGTTACCCATTTAAAGAAAGCAGAACGGTATTCCTGGAACATTTGAGCGTAAGATGGGTTGGGAGTCCACCTTGGAAACGAAACCGGTTTGTTGGATTAGACTGTCTTATTTATTCTCTCTCTCTCTGTAGGTAGGGTGGGAGGTGAATTGTAGATTGGTTAACTCTGAGCGCTGATGCAGGGTGCCACCTTATTTTCCAACGCACTGGTCATCAGTTCCATTAGTTCCTTCAACCTTTTGTGAGGAATAGCAAATTCGCTGGCAATTTTGGCTTCTGCCAAATACTGAGCAGCCTGTGGAAGAATAACAATAAAAGTATTACAACCATTATCAATATAAGATGATATACACTTTGCCAACCGGTATAAGTTAGTCTTAAAAAGATAATATTTAAAACACTGAAAAAAACTAATGTCGTTTTTGATCAACCAAAGTTATAGTAGAAAGGTTTGAGATCCCTTGCAAAAACATTCGGAAAGCACGGAGAAATATTCCGCTAATCAGTGAAGTACATGCATTTGCAAACAGATTTGGTATTGGTTCCGGGTGAGTCTTTCGCAAAAGCGAATTTGTTGGCAAATGAGTATAGTTCACTAATTTTGTGCAATTTGGTTTCAAGTAGAACATAAGATTGACGGAAACTCGGGGACTGCGTCTACTTGATGAGCCCCGAGAAGGGCGAAACCGGTAGTGGGTTGTCGAAGAATCTTCAGCAACCTTATGAGTAGTGTATTTCTTCTGTTTAATTCAGTCAGGAAATCATGAGTTCTTAAAAACCGTCTAGGCATGCAAGTGCTTCTCTTTGCTGAAGATATGTCTCCGATCGAGATGTGGCCCTAATCGGACAGGATATTCAACAGACTCCGTGCGTGACACATCGGTACATTGGTATAATTGTGGCATCGAAGTTTGACTGAACACACAGAGAAGCAGATCCTTGAAAACCAAGCTGGGTTCCGTCCCGCAAGAGGTTACATCGACCATATCTTCCCCCTCCGACAGATTCTGGAACAGCGACACTGCTTCCAGCAACCAACAATGGTTGTTTTTCTTGATCTGAAAACTGCCTTTGACTCTGTGGATCGCCAAGCACTATGGCAGTGTCTGCGGAACAAAGGTGTTCCCCGTAAATTCTTGACCCTCATTAAGGCGCTGTACGCCAACTCCTGCGGCCGTGTAAAGGTCTACGGGAAGCTCTCTCCTGAGTTCACCACATCCAGTGGTGTCCGACAGGGCTGTCCTCTTTTACCTTTCCTCTTTAACTTCGTCATTGATACGATCATGGAAGACTCCCTACTAGCTTCTAATGCCTGCGGGGTCGAAGTGCTACCTGGGCCTCCGCTCACAGATATCGAGTACTCAGAAGACATAGCTCTTCTGGGATCTGACCCTGTGGTAATGCAAACAATATTAAATAATCTAAATAATTCTGCCTCGCGGTTCGGGATGCGCTTCACACCTGCATAGTGCAAAGTGCTACTGCAAGACTGGGTGCACTCGAACCCTAGCCTCATGCTTGCGGATGAACCGACTGAGGTAGTACGTAAATTTGTTTACCTGGGTAGCTGTATCAGTCCCTGTGGTCTGGCGAAAGATGATATTTCCATCCGGATTGGGAAGGCCAGAGCAGCTTTTGCGAACCTACGTCACCTGTGGCGTAGGCGTGACATCAGTTTCTCTGTCAAGGGTCGAGTTTACAATGCTGCGGTGCGCTCCATATTACTATATGGATCAGAAACCTGGCAGCTGCGCGCCGAGGACGTCAAAAGACTTTCAGTGTTTGACCATCGATGCCTTCGGAGCACTGCCCGAATCTGGTGGGAACACCGGATCAGCAATTCTGAAGTAAGTCGAATGGTATTTGGGAGACATAACTTACCCTCGATAGATTAACTGACGGGATTGTGCGGGTAATGGGACCCTATGCTACTTGAGGTTCATCTGCGATTCGCAGTGGATCACGAATTGTGGGTAAAGGAATTATAAACTCCGACACCTCTGTTGGACTCTCGGCTATGAGGCGCTGCTGTGAGAGATGCTACTAAGAGTTTTGCGTCCGGATGGCAACAAGATGGAAACTATATGAGGGCTTGAATGCGTGTATAAGTATAAAATAAGCCTAAAAAGTGCGCTGTCTAGAATTTTGGCCGAGCCTATAAGTAGCACCACATGGAGGCATATAATTTGGTCTTTTTCAGAAGCTTGTACCGTTTTTAAGAGGCAGCGAACTGGGTCAAACACTGAGATCCATATTTTTGCCTTCCCTCGTACACAATGGATACTATTAGTTCTGAATGGCCTATAATTTACAAGGGAAGATGTAGACAAACAGCACGGCATTATCCGGAAGATCCATACTTTGTTAGCATATCAGTCCGATTTATTCAGCATTTTGGAACCAATAGTTTGAGGAAAAGGTTGGACTGAAAGTTTTTCCACAGCAGTGCTGACTCTGTTGCTTCGCTACTGTCATCATCTTCATCACTCACAACAGTATGCTAGCAGAATTGCGGATTCCTAACTGCCATACGGATTAGTTTAGTTTCAATAAACACACTTGTAATGATACATTGGCCCAGACTGCTAGTTTCCACCAGCGCAAAGTGAGAGATCTGGGGGACGTAAACAGACATTGGAGACGACGGTACAATCAGGCAATTCGTATTAAATCAGTCTAGTTAGTTGTGGGAACTGGAAACTAGGCAAACACACGTTGAAGAAGATAGGTTTAATGCGGGAGTTCCACTGACTGTGTGATTGAGGCATGTTAACCTCTGGTCAGCTAAGTCCCGATAAACTCCATTCAATTCAAAGTACTCTGTTCAGCAACCAAGTCACAAACACGGGAGCTTTTCTGTGATCGTTCAACTGTAACGCCCTTCCGGTGCCTAGCTACCATGCCACCCGAAAGAAGCATGAGGGCTGGGATACTGCCAAGTTGCCCAAGCCTAAACAGGGCAAGTCTAGAGGCAGACGTCGGGTTCGAATCATGGACCTTTCGGTCAGTAAATTCGCGCTCTAACCACTTAACCCATCTGTGATATGGATTGGAAAAGTAGTGAAAAGTATACTTCAGATTTTACATGGCGTGTCTTAATGTGCAGTTCACCACGAAAGTTCAAAACATGACATACTTTCCTGAGACTCGTCTCGGGTTAAACAAAACTATACAGAAGTACCAAAAGCTATGGAAAGCTACTAAACTGATACCTTCATACCTGGACGGTGAGTTACACTTCAACTCTCTCCACATTCTCCGCTCAGCAAGAGATCAACATCGAGTGCTTGATTAGTAGATCAGACGACCAGGCAAAAGATTTCAATTTACGAAACGTGTATAGCAGACCGTAGCGAAACTGCTGTAAATTTTACGAGCACAGCATTTTGAAACCTTCCGTCTTCTTAAATAGCATGAAGGATGGACTAATCGATCAATCTTGCAGCATTGGTGTTGGGTTGATTTTGTCTTTTCTGGGGTCGCTATTTAGAAACTCCATGGTGAGACGTGGAAATGAATAACATTTTTTTTACATTACACGCAATCCATTGACCAAGATTAGTAGTGACTTGACTGTCAACAGCGATGTGCCCTCTGCACCGTCCCCGATTCTTCTTGGCTCACAGCATGAAAAAACCTTTCTAAAATGACTCAAGTAAATATTTAAGGTTGAGTAGGCATCAACTTTAATTTTGTCCCATCATATAAAAAGCAACGAAGATATTAGACCGAAGAATTTGTGGTGCATTGGGACAACACTTTGAACAACGAACGAATACTTCGAGAACTCTGCTTCCTAGTGACGTGATCCTAAAAATGAATACTTTGCTCAGGCACATCTATAGTAAACATAAGAATAGCTGGGTTCGAATTTACTGACCGGAAGGTCCGTAGTTCGAATCCTGCCTCTGCTTCTCGACTTCCCCTGTCTAGGATTGGGCAACCTGGCAGCCTCATGTTTCCTTCGGGAGGCACGGCAGCTAGGCACCGAGAACGTGTTAAAGCTCAACGATTTTCCTCTATGGTGATCTTTGTTCAAATCAACGACTTTGTCAATAGCCCAATTACGAAGTGATATCTGGCGACGGACGATGTATTCCTGGTGTTGCTCGTTCTGAACCGCCTCTGAATTTTTTTACTCCAGGTTGCAAGTTATTTAGTCCGTGGCCCTGTTCTGTTGCTCTGTATGTCTCACTTTAGATCTTTTGTTGTACACTTCATAGAAGTGAGGTTTGTTTGTTTGCCGAATATGATTCCGTACTGTACCACAGTAGATCAACGTCACTCGTAACAGACACTTTGTGCTGAAGGCTACGAACTGCGTGATCATATTCCACATATCAAGACCTCACAACAAAATGATATGAATGCTCCAATGCAAGTGCACTTGACTTGGAAAATTCACTCACCTTACTGCGTCTTTCCAGAACAAAATTAAGCATTGAAAGTGCCAATAACAAGCGGACTTTTGGATCAGGTTTTCCGAGCCCGTGACAGATACTGACACCTTGGTTTTCCACAAACCGCTGGTGTCGATATTTTTCAATGGCATAAAGCATCTTTTCTGCCTCGGCTTTTTGGGCGTCATCTGAAAGTTGAAAAACAAATTGTGCTGTGTAGACAAGTAAAAGTGTCAGTCTTTCGGCCGCGTTTTTTCATCTTCTTTGCTCACACCTTATATCAAGTAAGATGTCTTCATCTTTCATTTGGCACGCCATTTGAGGTATTGCAATATTTCGTTACCAAGACGTGACAAGCTACTCATAAACTTTCTGAAGACTCTTCGGCAGCGCACGACCGGTTTCACCCCCATTGGAGCTCATCAGGTAGGCGCATGCATGATGCAGCAAACTGAGTTGAGGCGGACCACCATAAATGGCCCACAGGCCAACTGGAATCAATTAATTCTCTTTTCAAAACCTGATTGGTGTGCAAATAAGGGTGCTTTTTTAAATCTGTCCAATTTGGAGTCAACTAAAACATAAGTTTGACGGCAACTCGGGGACCGTGCCTACCTAATAAGCCTCAGAAAGGGTGGAACCCGTGGTGGGCTGTCGTAGAGTTTTCAGCAACCTTATGGGCAGTGTCTTAGGCTTAGGTAATACGTGTTCAACTTTATCCAAAAAAAGAATATAAAGAGAGGGCTGTGTTTTGAGGTCTTAGTTACGAGGCAAATGGTGATTGGCCTGTGGCCTGTTTCTTGAAACCGGGTTATCTTGGTAAAAGCCCGACATCATATTTAGCCTCACAATATGTTTTAAGCTATATCACACGATGACACATTTTGCTATAGGCTAGACCAAAGGCAGGGGACAAGCTACCCACTATATTGGACAAGACGTGACCAAGCAACCTACGGCAATTGGGCTCTTATTATTGTTGTATTTTATAATAGTATCACCAGTATCGGTGTACAGTACCGACCTTCCAGGTCGGCAATGCGAATGCCAATTTTCTAAAGAACACAGAACAGATAAAACCGATAAAGCAAAAAATGGAAGAATTAACCTAGAAAGACGGACATCCATCCCCCAAAAAATCATCTTGAAGACTACTTGAACATCATTTAAAGTCACATTTTGGAGTGCCTTCAGTTAGGGTAATGAATGCTGATGCATTTAGCCACGCCAAAAGGAATCAGATCTAACTTAGGGTTCACCATATCCACTTCATCATCATCATTAAAGAGAGCAACATCACTCTTGCCACTGATGCTTCACTGCCGTACAACCATAAGGTCGGCCTGCCCACATCTCCAACCGCTCAGTCAGACAATCTTGAAAGACACTGACGGCACAAACGCCACTAACATTGATTAGCCACCATTTCTTGCAACGTCTCCAGCCAAGCACAGACGGGGTCACGGGAACCCCATCCTCGAAGGCATACAGCACCAGCAACGCCCAAACTCTTCGTGATCTCTTTGACGCCTTTCTGCCAAGTCATTTGTTGTCCACCTCGCGGTTTGCGCCACCCTGAACGAGGCACGGAGAATAACACTCGTCTTGGAAGACGGTGTTCCGGCATGCGTAGCACATGACCGAGCCATTGTAGTCGATGCTGGATGTTTACTCGGACTGAAGTGCCTGTATCACAACCATATCCATTTATCTTTGTGTCTCACGCAGAGCACTGCTTTTCACAATCTGCTGCGTCTACAGCTCGGGAAATTAATTTCCCTTACCACGGCAGAGTGTCATTTTATCCCGTTACATTTGCCTTCGAAGTGACTGCTCCATTTTACGGTCACTTTTTTAGCCAACTGTGAGAGGTATATGCTTCTACGGTTGAGCAATCAACCGTTTCGTTCGAAATTTTACAACGCGTTGTTCTAGAGTACCGGAGGAAACAGATCAACTAGACCTCTCTAGCTGGTGCCATTAGGTATGTATGCGACGGAAAGACGTAGATTTCGGTAGAGATACCTAACATTGTCCGTTCGGTTCAAGAGAAGTGGGTACAACACTGTGAACACATAACTCGGAAACGAAACTGTAATATTGTTGTGGCGAGAATGCTCGTCTGGATGAATACATGCCATTTCGTTTGGGTCGACTTGCCAGCCAAGTATCTTAGTTCAAAGAACAGTTGGTTCATAAAGGAAACTACTCACAAGGTCACTGAAAACTCTTCGAAACTGGTCGGGAGCTGTCCGGGTTTTTTTTCAGCAAACTTGTGAATAATTTCCTTTATGAAAATATACTGCGAAATCTGGAATATCGTGCCAACTGAATCATGGGGCGGCCTGTGTGCAGCACATTCAGTTGTAGAATATCATAAACGGGAGATTCAGTTGAGTTTCTCGTGAAAACCAAATTCATTTGCAATTGAGCATATAATTCTCGAAAACAGTCAGTTCAGTTTATCAGCATACAGTATGTAACAATGGTACGTTAGTTACAGACTCTACGGTTTCAGTTGCCGGAAATTGTGTGAACGGGTGTTCGATGGCACAATCAGGTAGTTCCTGTTGAACAGTCCTTACAATTTTCCGGACTTTCACCGATCTTAATTACCAGTTACCGGAACTTCGAAGCCCTTTATCTTACCTAAATCAACGAGCGTCGTCCCAAACTAGGTCTGCCTTCATGAAATCCCTTTTTCTTTAGTATCACGGTATCCCTCCACATTTCTAATCAGTTTATTCAACAAATCCTCTGTAAAGGTGTAGACGTTATCATTTCCTGCCAGAATGCACAATGTGCTCCCTGACTTGACTGGATAATTCGGCTATAGAACCCATGAGTGGTGCACTGTAGCTTGAAATGGAAGATAGCTGATGCACTCAGAGCCCTTGTGGACAGGACAAGTACGGCCGAGTACAGATGACGTTACATAAGTTAGCTGGAATAAAGACTGTTGATTTCTCCATTTTGGTCTAAATATCCTCAGCAACCGTCTCATTAAACAAAGATGACGATTGAGCAAATAGAATTTTCTTATAACATTGGTCCAATGACCCATGTCTTCATGTGGGCACAGAAATTTGGACCGAGCTCCCCGAAAGTTCCGTAATCGTTCAAGTGGTTTTTCTGACCACTTTTACGCTGGATCTCGAGCGAAAACCACTTTTTTTGAAACTTTTAGATGGTCATGAAGAAAGATAGTTTATCCAGTGTTAGAACAGAACCTCGGTTCACTGTCCGTTCATCTGTAACTGTATTGCAAGCCGAATTGTTCACAGTTGATAGGCAAATCCCTAATTGCCCATAGAGGTACTTTGGCTTCCTGTTGGAGGTTGGAAATGCATTCTCTTATAAAATCGGTAGCAAACGATGAGTAAAACAACTACATCAACAATAAGTGTTTATAACTCACCCAGGGTCTCCAATTTTTCCTGAGTAATCTCAGCCACAACAGCACCTATTCCTTCAGGTACTAAAGGTCGATAGGTCAAGCTGCGTACAATCCCTGCTAAGTGATCACACCATATATCAACAACCCTGGCGTACAAACTATCCGCGACAGGAAGTTTATCCTTCGGGGGAGAAATTGGCTGATCGGAACCTAACGACAGGGTGTTGCATGGTGGATTTGGGACACAACAATGCACGCCTCCCAAAATGGGGTTGTCTGGCATCGGCTTTGGTCCACCTGAGATTTGCGGGGTGGCAGATGGACCAATCAGACTGTATGGTCCTTGTGAGGCCTTTGGGTCGGCTAGAGCTTCTTTGCACCTCTGTTGATCACGCTGGTGAATCGCATAGAAAACTTCTGCCATTTGGAAATAGCCCCCGGCGGTCCTTATGTGATCCGTGCCGTATTCACAAGACGCGTAGAATATCTGTGGTATAAAAGTGAAGTAATATTGAAGGCATTAAAACAGAAAAATATGCACTTTTGGCCAAAATGTGACGCTTAGTAATGCACGCACGAAACTGGTAGGGCCTTCCATAGCTTCCTGTCCTAAGTTGATGGAACAAGGAAGGACGTACATATAAAAAAAATTTAAAAAAAACTGGAGAGGTTTCATATGTAACGGTTGACCAGTTGGCTGTGCGCCATGCTGGGTACATTTCGAATATTCTCCCCTCTCCTCCAGAATGAGGAGCGCGTGATCCAGACTGCGTCTGGTTGGAGGCACTACAACATATGGCTGCCAACCGATGTCAGTGGCGTTCTAGTTGCTAGTTTCTATCCAGCTTGCCTAAATGAGCGTTTGGAGGTGTAGGCACTTCGGAATGATTGTGGTAAGCAAGCACTAAGTCCTTTCCCCGTCCACCTTTACTCTTTTCTTTACAATAAGGCTTTCGAATAGATCGTGATTGTGCGGTAGTGAAGCATCGGAGTAGAACACTAATGAAATGATGTCGATGATGAGGATGATGACGACGATGATGATGATGATGATAATGGTGATGATGATGATGAGTTTCAGCTTACTGTTAACTGGATGCAGCTGATGGTCCTGAATGCAGTTGAAGGGATTGAGACGCCCATAGCTGTGGAGGTTGTACAAAAATGATCGTTTCTTACTGAATCTATGTGGATCGATTTTCGGTCATTCGCGCAGAAGATCAAGTGATCGCCTTGATTTGTGTACACATAAAAGCAACGTGGAAAATCCAAAGGGAAAAATTTAGAATATTCACAGACGTTTTTTTAAATTTCCACTTTGTTGTATTCGAGGCAACGTTTTAAGTTAACTTTGTTCCACTGACTGACGCATCTTAGTTCCTCGACTCAAGCTATGTAATCCGACTGCANTTTCGCAAAACGAAACTCTTTCCCCAAATCGGCGAAATTAGAAGCAGCTTCAGTTTTTCTCTAACTACGATCCCGCGAACAGAAACGGACTCTTAATTCCATCATTTGCTTACGTGTCTTACGTCTAGCTTCCCCTTCCAGTGAAATGAGCAAACACTTAGCATTACAATACGTCAACTTCGTATGTTTTTTTACATCTGAAGGAAACACTATAATGCTGGTTTAAGCGTTCATGTGGGACGCACTCAGCTGGGGTGATCTCAATAAAGACTTTTTTACAATGGACCATTAACTTATTTACGCCTCCGTCAAAAATGTTTTTCATGCAGGCAACAGGTGGTTCAACAGCCAGAAACACTCGTCTGTTTCTTTACTTTCATTAGCTAATGGTCATGTTTCTTCTGGCTTCATTAAAAATGAATTCCTTAGGTTGTTTTGTTTGCTCCTCTAGTAGTTAGACAAAATAACCTTGAAGTGGTCACGTGGACGCATCTCGAATTCCAAACATTGTTAACCGGAAGCCGACAATCGATATACATACGCATGCTCATTACTGTGAACATATATATCAAGACAAACTAGTCTCTCACAGTGCGCCATGTATATATGGGACTTAGATTGCAAAACAAACTCGTGAATGGCTGAAGGAACCCAAATCACAATGCCTCGTCATTTGCCGGGCGGGCTTACTGCTAGACGGATATCGAAATCGACAAGTTTTGCTAAACATTCGCATCGATTTGTCCTCTTCCTAGAAGCATATACTTAGTTGGTACTGCTTTAAAATTTGGGGCTTTCAGGTCAGTCTTTTGACTGGCTGTTTTTCAGGCTTATGGTTGTTTATAACTCGCAGTTAATCCCATTCAGAGGTCATCTATCTACCATTGACAGCATATATGAGTGCTCAAATCTGAAGTCGCGCTGCTGTACATTTATATGTTTGAGTGCTTTATTTTGAAGGAAATTGTAAAACTGAATGAGACGTTACCCTGAAGTACTGTGGGTATCCCAAAATTCCAACACCTGCAGACACTCATTCAGACAATCTGGATAGAAACTGATAACAAGAAAGCAGTTGACATCGATCGGCAGCCTTATCTTGTGCGGTCTTCGATAATGCACAAAGGGAATCACGCAAACCCCATTCTGGAAGGTGAGCCACACTAGCGATACCCAAACATTTCGTAATCGCCTTCAAACTCGTCTGCCTCTCTGCCTGCTCTACTCTAAATAACATTGGAGATAACTCACATCCTTTGCTAAGCTTTCCAAAGCCGCTTCATAGTCTCCCTTGGCCGCATAGAGCAGTCCCAGTTTGCGGTGTAGCTGTGATCGAATTGCATTAGAACATTCATGTTGCGTTTTCAACATGGTCCACTGTGCTTGTGCTAAGTAGGCCTCTGCTTGACATAGCCTTCCAAGCCCTGAATGAAAAAGTGATCAATATGAGAGTTTCGGTCATTTGGCGATTGGTGCGTGTTTAACGAAGGTTAGTTCACTACGACACCCATAAAAACAGAAGTCAAAATTCGAAAACCTGTCGGCCAGTATCAGTTTGGCACTCCTACACAATCTTGAGGCTTTAAACTGGAACCAAATGGGTGACACGACAAGGTTGCGGAACAAAGGTAGCTCTGGTGCGCTGATTGGTTTTTGGTCTGTTCGCCAAACTCGGCAGTTGGATTGCAAACGTTTCACCACTAATCCCAGTGACGTCGTCGGTGCGGGATTGATGGTTGAGGACGTCACCCCGCGCTGTGCTTCACCTAATAATTTTTGCGGTTTCTCTTAGAGTTCGATGGCCTAATATTAGCTTTGTGTGGCGTTGTAGCCGCTGACATAAGTCACCTTTTGTCGAAATCGCTTGAAATATCTGGGCGTCAGCGAACCGTATTTTTTTCACACCAACGTAGCCGTTGGTTTGTTCCATACCCTAGATAATTCAGCTGCGGTGGTTCCAGAACCAATACAGGTCACATCACCAGTGCGTTAGGGGATGTGGGGCCTGATGCCGTTCTCATTATTCGTGATGAGGAATACAAACTCCATCCAAGCAGTAGTCGGTAGCGAAGAATTTTTGGCCAATCTTACCACATGTAGAACGTCGTAGTAGGTCGCTTCCAAAGATTCTCCAAGTGGCTACGGAAATGTAATTTGCAGCGCTGTGACTATAAATCATATATGATAAAGTATACAACAGAAAGTAAAAAATGCACTTGATTAGAATGAATAGAACAGAAGGAGACGCCGTCTACGATCATCCGTAGCATTTAATACGGGAGGTGCGAATATGTTTTGTAATTTTATGTGACAACTTTTCTCGGAATATCACCAGATCGTTCAGTGCCGCTGAAGATGTGGCTTCTCGGGTTCCAAATTTTTCCGTTTGCGGTGTTCATGCAGACATTAGTGCTTTAGCAGTTCTCCTTGCGAAGTTCATGGTATTTGTTATATCTGCTGTTTTGTCGGCCCGTGGTATCTGCAGCTGACCCGCTCCAGTGCCTAGTGTCGGAGAGAAAAGACTCACAGAAGAGAACACAACAGCTATATTCCGAACAAGCGAGTGAGTGCGTGCGAGTGCGAGAGCGAGAGCGAGTGCAAAAGTTACAACGGCCCCACGCTTTTTAAAGGGGACTTTCTGACATTGATCCAGGCTGTCTGATAGGCGTTAGTGATCACCCATCAACATTGATCGTGCCTCTGTAAAAAGCCTGAACGCTGATCACATTCGGTCGTGCTTCTGTGGCGCAGAGAACACTCATCAGGTTTTACTGAATTGATCGAATGATTGACTGGCCTGGATGCTTGCCGGCTTTCCAGTTGAGCTTTTGGTGGAGCAGTAGGTTTCGGGCGTTCAGAAGTTGATTTCAGGAATCTGACCTTCCTGATAGTATTCAAATTCTGAACTACTCTATGACCTTACCTTCTTGATGCAATGGACCTCGCATTGAAAGTCAGTCACAGATTAATTGTGCAGCCACAACATAACCCATAGTCGGTCGCGCTGCAACTTTAAAGTTCTTAGTGCTACCACATTACTGCATACAATACAGAATGGTGGCTCATTTACAGTTGATATTTATTGGCTTTCGAAAGGGTAAGAGGTTGCACTTTTGGGGTAGGTATTTTTTCATAGTCACACCATTATCGTTTGATCGGTCGTCCTCTTGTTCTGGCGTGATTATTCCCGTGAGTCCACCCCAAAGGGGTAGTCGTTTAATAAGTCAGGCAAACCAGTCACATCGCTCAGGTGTAACCAAGTTTGCCAGTTCACAGTGCGTTGTTGGAGAAGTTGATGATATTTCCTTCCGGATTGGGAAGGCCAGAGCAGCTTTTGCGAACCTACGTCGCCTGTGGCGTAGGGTGACATCAGTTTCTCTGTCAAGGGTCGAGTTTACAATGCCGCGGTGCGCTCCATATTACTATATGGATCAGAAACCTGGCAGCTGCGCACCGAGGACGTCAAAAGACTTTCAGTGTTTGACCATCGATGTCTTCGGAGC